ATGCTGACAAACGATGTCCATGGCAAGCTGGCAGAGTCATCCCAGTGACATCCATAAACAAAACCAGGGACGAAAGTGACTACTCTTTTGAGCCCAAGGAAGTTACGTTCATTTCAGATTTCAGCATCCGAAATGTAATACTTGTGACTGGGAGCTACTTTATTTTTTTAATTTGGTGGTCTAGTGTTTTGGATTGCTATGCTCAAACTTTAAATTAATGATTTTATTTTAATCCGTTCTAAAATGTAAAGGCAAGTATCATATTCATACAAAGTGAAAGACCAAGACATTTCAATTAACATTTAAGTGAAGCCAACTCTTCCTCAGGCAGATACCCCCCCCTCTCCTAATCAGAATTGCAGCACTGAGATTCCATAAGCAAAAACAAGAGTGAATGAAAACTCAAGCAAAATTTGTAACAGGAAGGATCTCTTTTATTACGTCAACTAATGCAGCTAAAAATAAGAAACAGACATACTTTTTGTGTACACAAACATTCTGGCATGCACAGAGATAAAACTGGATTTGATTTTTGTTGAATAAACACCAATGCGTGCATTAAAATGAACAGAGAAAAGGGACGGCTACTGGCAGATGGGGCAGATTTTTTAAATTCTTTTTGCTGAAGTGTTCTTAGTATCATGGGTGAAGAGACTTGCCCATGGCACTCTTTGAATTGCCTGGATCCCTTTAACAGTTGTTAATTTCCATTGAAAACTTGCTGAGTAGCAGCTAAAGATTTGGGGGAACAAGCGCTGGAGAATGATGTACTGAGTACTATGATAAAAGTAGCCCAGAAACAAGATGCAGTGGCTTTCAAGAGGTTCCTCCCTTCCTCCACCCCCCCCCAAACCACACACAAAAAACGCATCCTAGGTGGTCGAGGAGGCATTGCCTAGAAATACAAAGTGCCTGAATTGCACATGTGATTGTTACACTGGGATAAAAGCTGGAGTCGGAACAAGGGCAGATCCCGCTGCTTCAGTATTTGTACTCTTTGAAAAGCCAATTTGCCAAGCAGCATAACAAGAGCCTAACAAGTGGATGGACATATGGGGAGGCAAAATAATTGTGCATTAGGAAGACGGTGCAGATGTGAGCTGAAGTAAGGGCGTAACTCCATATGGCGCATTGCTGACCTTCAGTTGGTGCCTGAATGACAGTACGCGGTGCGGGTCGCACCATCTGAGGGATGTTGTACTGGGAGCGGGGCTGAAACCAGACAGAACTGGATTTACGCAGATCATCTGCTTCCTGGAAAACAATAAAGCAGCTACCAACAGCTGTTGTGCCCGAGATCATCAGGGTATTACCGCACCTTGCAACTCTAACACTTTCCCTATAACACTTAGTGCATACCGTGCTTCTGGAAAAAAAAAATACTGTTTACTGCTACTAAGGTGGTGATGGCTCTTAATCCCTGTTAATTCCCTCTGAAGGGAGAGCATAGGTGAGTGTGCAGGATACCTGATTTCTGTCCATGTTCTCTATGGTTTAAAAGCCTTTGTATGTCTTTGGAGAGGAAATTACTTAATCCTTTCAAACATAGAGTATTAAAAATCCTGTGGTTAGCATGTTTATTTGAGAAACATCATGGATTTTTTTTTATAAACTAACCCTAGAGGGATGTGCATGTTAGGTAGAATAGCTGTGGCACTCAGGAAAGTGTGACGAGTGGAGGGCTTAATTCTTCAATCTAGAAATCCTTTGATAAAATATACTTGATAAGTCCAAACTGTGACTTATGGTTTATTATCATTTGTTTCTCCCTTTCCCTTTCATCTGTTAACCTAACACTGGCTAAGAGTTTGGCCTCGTTTTATCAATGGCTGCTTGAAGTGCTCAGGAGGATTTGCTCCAGTATTCACCAGAAGTCTTTGATATATGAGATTGTAGGCTAAAACCAATAATCTTTTGTGAGGAAGTGTCACAATACATACATCGATCATCTGAGCCTCTATCTGTCAGACTCTCCCAACCTAACCGTATTTTTCATGACACAATGCGGCGCATGGCCTTTAAATTACCCATCTGTCTGACAAATCAGTGAGTGTGGCAGAAACTGGCAGCAGTTTGACATCCCCTATCACTTTAACTGAAGTGAAAGTAATGCAAACAGATTTATGGGATCCCCTTTGATTATAGACTATGAATATATTTGGAATTGATGTTTGGGAGAGAGACACAACAGAGAGGCAGGAAAGGCTTGTAGGCAAAAGCACTAGCGATGGGTTTGCAGCTTTGCATTTACTATGAGGGAGATTGTTCTGTGCTTAATTTTTTCCCTCATATGGCGTATCTTATCTGAATACCTCTTACTTTTTTTTTTTTTTGTCTCGCATGATTATTTAGCTGTTCTAAATTCTTAACTTTATAAATATCAAGGCTGAGTTTTCTTAAACATATTTGCAGTACTGCTGTTAAAAATACCTGTAATGTTCATTGCATGTCAGTAAATATTGCTGAATTTCCAATTGTGTTCTGAATACAATGGAGCACAGCAGAATACAAATAGCTGATAATGGCTGCTCACTGCTGATGAGGACTTGAGTTCTGTGGTGGAGTAGAGCAAAGCATCAACTTGGCTTTTTTGATCCAATGGTTTATCTTTGTTGCAGAAGTAACCAAGACCTTGGCTTTTCCCCTTTGCTTCCATGCAAAGGGTTTGGTCATAGTGTATTAATTCCTCGAACCTGGTTCATAAGTAACATCTGCTATAACAAGGCTGCATTTTTAGAAAGGCAATTTTATCCTACTTATTGACACTGTTGTTTAAGTGTAGTGGTGAATTGTGATGGTGAAAGCTGGGACTGAGAACTACTGAGTATGTGTTGTGTACAGGCAACAACATGCCTATTCAAACAACTCTTGGCTGCAGTTGATCTCTTGAAGCCCTGAGCCATCCAGTCCAAGTAAGCAGTAGGGTGGTACCCTTTGGGCATTAGTACATTTGTTGAATCATTTTCTGAGCTCTCTGGAGCTTACACAAGCTTCTCTTGATACGCTGCTTGCCTTTCTTCAGAGAAGCCATAGACTTAAGTGATTCCCTTTTTAAAGAAATACTTTTCATGAATGAAGGGGCAGGCATTGGAAGTCGCTTAACAAAACAGATAGTTGTGGTTCAGCTGTGGTGGCTTTTGCCTGGATTCCAGGGGAAATTGTGATTTGTGGGGTTGCCATGGAAACTCAGCCCATTCTCTAAACACCTTCAGAGTTTCCTCCTGCCAGGCAGCACTGAGCTAGCAGCAATCTGTCACTGTGTGAGTTCTTGTAATTCTCTGTTATCGCAGCCATTGGTAGCTGTGGGGATCATGATCTACAGCTGCTTAGATCTGAGATAAGCTTTTCTAAATCTGAAGTCTTTCTCCTGAATTTTGTTTGGGGGATGCTGGCATAACCTTGAGCCGAATTTGGTTTGTTCATTCCAGCCTGCAATCTAAACCACTGGCTGTCATCAGCATCGTGGCTCTGTGGGTCTTTCAAAATAATGGAGGGAAGATGCCTTCTGAGACAGGTATTTTCTAAACAAACCAGAGTGTTTTTTCCCTTTTGCTCCAACTAGTGTTTACCTTGAAAAGAGAGAAACAGGTAACATTCTCCTCTGCGTGCTAAACTGTAGAGGCATTTTTGTTAAGATGATTGCTACACAGAACAAAACAGGCCTGCTGCTCAATGGAAAAGGTGCTGGCAAATGGAGTTAATCACTGATGGGATGGGTACTTTCCAGCCCACAGTTACTCATTTGGAAACCACATCCCAGCTCCTGTAAACGGGTTGTTGGCAGTGTCACTCCTGCGTTGTTAGGCACTCTTCATCTCCAGCCTTTGCACATGATGATGAGAGGCCTTTTTGACTTCCTGGCACAGGCTTCTGCCAAGCTTGTGGCACCTGGGTTCTTGTACAAGCATCTCTCACATCCCTAGGTGAGGAGGTGGAGACAGTGATGCCAAGTGTTGCATCTCCTCACACAAGGTTGTGTCTGCAGAATTTCACAAAGCCTCTGTGGAAATAGCAGGGCAGTTTGTAACCAAACTTCTAGGGGTTGTAGGGAGGAACAAGTACAGCAGACAGCAGAGATCTTGGTGTCTGACTGAGGTTGACATATAGGTTTTGAAGTGCCCAGGAGCCTCTGGCTGCTCCCTACAGGAAAGGCTCGGTGGTCTTTGGGGTCTGTCTGTCTCTCTTCGTGTCTGGAACTTGGTTAGTGGGAACCTATATAAAGCTTTGTTTTGGCTAAAGGAAACCCTGATGTATTTGCATTTAGCATCTAGTTGACTAGGACATCCCCAGTGGTTGCTGTTTTTTCAAACCCAAGCTACTCCTGTTGTAAAATCTCCATCCACAGGTCTCACATCAGCTCCTGCCTGCCTGCATCCCACATCCATTCTGAAAACACACTCATTGGAGAGAGCCCTTTGTGCAAGTCCCACACCTTGTTGGTGTTTGTGAGGGAAGCCACATCTACAGAGGAGCACAGAAGACAGATATACTATCCCAGTGTAGTGTTCAAAGCATGGGCACCAGCTAGGCTAGCATCACTGTGAAAAGGAAAGCTACAGATGGTGTCTTTGCTAAGGTAGTTCCTCTGATATAATCCTGTTTCTGCTATGAGTTTTTTTCAAGCACAGCTTTCTCAGTCAGGGATCTCACCAAGGCAGGCATGACTTTGGTGGACTTGTGGCTTTAGGCATGTTCTGCATAGCTCTGGTAGCAGAGCAGAGGGCACACGTGAGCAAAGTCACATTGGGTTCCCTTTTGGTTTAAACCAGTCCTAGGCTATTCTGTGTAGGCAGGAGCTCTGAAACCCAAGGAAAGCATTGCTTTTTAGTGCTGACCTTTGGTACAGCATAGTTGGAATGTCATGTCTAGGACCCAGTGAATGATACTAGATGAAGATCTCTAAGTGCAGCCTGGCCCCTCTGCTTATAGTCCCTTTGGCTAGCTGCTGATGAGTCAAAACACCTGCTTTTTATGAATAATGAATTTTTCTTTACCTCTAGGGAAGATGCATAAACTTCACTCGGGTGAAATCAGATGGAACCTCTGCCCCTTACAGCCCACCACCGAAGTTGCCACGGCCTGACAATGTTCCTCTCAACAACTCTCCAAGGAATTTGTCTCCTCCTGTGTCTCTGCAGCCTCCTTCTAGGCAGCCACCTCCTGGACCACCCCCATCCCGAGCCCCTCCTGGACCTCCTCCTTCGCGCCCACCCCCACAGCCCATGGCTTAGAGTGCAGCAAAACCCTGATCGACAAAACATGTCCCTTTGCTGAACACGGCATATTTATTGAGTATTGGTTTACAGTTAAAGATATCACAATTTGTTGCTGGTCAGCAAAAAAAGAAGAAGAAAAAAAAAAAGAAAAATTGCCAAGTGTCAATTTTAGTATATGAATATATTTATACCACACGTGCTGAGTAAACATTCAGTGGATAGATTCAGAGCTATGAGGTATAGAAACAAACCAAAATGATCATCTAGATACAGTAGCAGCTTTTGTATGTATACATTTGAAGATCTATTTACATATGACATTTGTCTGACTTGGTGTGTCAGAACATTCATTAATAACTTTAGCCAGTACACATGCATCAGTTGTTTTGATAGCTGCCACCTGCAAGTTGGTTAAACATAGTTCATTGAGGAATTTTCTTTTTCCCCCCAACAGTACTGCATCCAGATGTTAATATGGAACAATAATTGCAAAGATAACTTTCTGCCTTTGGTTCTGCAGGTGGAATTTCCGTGAAAGTTTATAAGAAGACTATAACAATGAGGTAAGATGGGACTATGTGCCAATAATCTAGCAACAGTAATCTAGCATAGAAGAGCAGTATTTTTTCCTCCTAAGAAAACCAGTTTTGAGCCTGCCATCTCTGCATATGTTTAGACTTGGTTGCATAGGATAGCCACTGAAGGCCAGATATTGGTTCTAGAAATCCAAACCTTGAACAAGACCTGAGTTCAGATTTGTACAAGGTTCAGAGGAATTTTGAGAAAAATGTTTTGGCTAGGTGTTTAGTTTTCATTTACAGAAAACACAGTCCAAAATGGAACAAATATACATGCTATTTGAGCATGAATGCTGTAATATGCAAACAGCATGTGTTAGTTATATCAGCAGCATTGAAAGACCGATTCCATTGCTATTTAATTAGATAAATTTCTTTTTTTATCTTGCTGCCAAGCAGAACTAGATTCTCTTGTGATTCAAACATGAATTCCTCTAGGAGTTGTTCTTTCTTTAGACAGCCCAGATCCCACTAATATGTAACCTTGCAGTCTACCTGTGGTTGAGGGGCATGGCATGATGTGTTAGGATGAGCTTTTATCCCTCTTTCGTATAATGTTTGGCTAGAGTATTTCCCAAACATTGTGATTGCTCACCCATGACCTCAATTCCATGTGTCATCAGAAAGTGATGTGAACACCCACACAGAGGTGGGAATTTATGACGCGGGACTGTGGGACAGCCCATGAATAGTGTTCACTAAGCAATACCTGAGTGGGTTGTGCCCAGATCATTCCCTAGTGAATCAAAATAACATCTGAGCTTGCTTTTTCTCCACCACTACCTATCATATTGTATTGGAGGGGGTGGCTGCAAATCCCTACGCTGGTTCGCTTTGGCACTGGCTGTGTTATTACCTGTAGAAATTATGTTTATGTTGCATTATGACACAGCATATACCTATCTCTCCATCTGTGTGTAGGTGTGGGTATGTAGCACATCACACTAGTTATTGGCACATAAGTCCAAGACAGAACACTAACTGTAGTGTGCAGTTACTCTAGATTTAAGGCCTCTTCATGCAGTTGTTACAGGCATAGAAAGTTGTACTGGGACAAATAGAAATCAAGCTTACTATTTCCAGTGGAAGTCCCACTTGCAGAACACCATACCAAGCTCTCATCAGTCTATGCTGATCACTGTGACATGCCGTGTGTATACAGCTGAGGCTGTCAAAGATAAACTCAGAAGAACCACAGAGCCTCTTTCTCCTCTTGCACTGCTCTGCTCTGTTGAGTTATGCTCTTACCTCATGTATATTGGTGCAAGTAGTGGAATCACACTCATGGATGCCAGCTGGCCTTGGAGCTGTTCCTAATTTAGGCCTGAGCCAGCAAAGCACTTCTGCATGCATTAAAATATCCTGCAGGTCAAGAGGAACATCCTTATGTCCAAGTACTTTGCTGACCTGTGACTTCATTGTGATCAGAAAGGAGAATTGGGGTGCAGTCAACCCTATCCTTATTCTTTGTAGTCACTTGAATAGGGTCTGCATAATTTGGTCCATAAGAATGGATTTGTGTTTGGAGGAGAGAGAAGTGTGTGTGTATGTGTGTGTGTGTGTCTGTGTTTGCATGTGGGAACTGTGTAGGTTTTTGTTTGGTTTCTCTTCCTTTACAAAAATTGCTTGGAGAGTAGCACTCCTATGAATGGAAAGGGCTTTTGCAGCCAGTGCAACACCCAGTCTTCACTTACTTATCTCCATTTCTTTCAGTTGAAAGGTGAAACTAAAACATGTCCAGTTTTCCACCACAGTTCTAGTGAAGCTCCACTTTTGACACCAGTGAAAGGAACTGGATGACTCCAGCAAGGGGGTAGGGGCCTAGATGTCGAGGGGGAAGGTGCTTTACAAGCAGAGATCATTGGCTGATGTTATTTTGGTCGTATGAAAGCCTATGTGAAATAAATGTGCTGGGTCTAAGGCCAGTTGTACTGTGTACATACGGTTGAACCTAACAGCCTCTCATGTTAGCTGTCTAAGAATAATTAGCCAACAAATGCTAACCAGGAATTGAAATTACAGAGGGGAATAAACCTGATTCCCCTACCAGGACAAAACATGGCGTTTGAGGTTTAGCTGCTTGTGGAAGAGGGGCAGACCACTGCTCTGTAGATGCCAAGTCTCTTATCAGCAGGCGCTGATGAGATGGAAACAGTGGTGGAGCTCACAAATGATATAATAATAATAATAAAAGGGAAAACTTGCTTACAGGATTAGTATCCGCTAATAAAGTTGAATTCATAGGTTAGGAGTAAACTTTAGCTAATGAAAAAGCCTGGGAACCAGATTTTTTATTGTCTTGCACCTGTACAGATCTTGAGAGGTGTCGGTAAAGTTGTTGCATATTTTCATTGATGTTAATGTTGGTAGGATTTGACTCACTTCCAGTGAGAATGGAGGTATTGGCTTAGGCAGGGCTCCTCACAATCATACATCCAACATGCCTGTTGTTTGCAGCTGAGGAGAATATTCTTCTTTGGTGGAATAGCTAGTCTTACAGAGATAACAGGTACTAACAATTTCTGCATAACTTGCAAGTACAGCAAGGATAAGGAGGGGTTTGGGCTTTCAAGTGATCAGATACGTACATGATAAAGCAGGAAGCACCGTGAATTTGAAAATCAGATTCAGCATAAATGGAGTTCCCAGCATTTTCACAACATAAAATTAAGCATTTCGTGTGAAACTCAAGTTTTGGCTGCAGCTTCTGTGATGGGAGCACTGCAGGTTTAGTTTGCCAGTGAAGCGGGAAGAAGAGAAAGTGAACCTGAACTGAATTGCTTTTGCAAAGGTGGGGGCAGTGAATATGCTGCACTGGCTACAGAAAGACCTTTTGGTTGTGTAGAAATGTACCCATTTGCAGTGATCTTAGGCACTGTAACAATGCAGTGGGAGAACTGGTTGCTATTTTACCATCTGTTGAACTTGATCCTTACCTGTTGTAAATCAACATAGGCCAACTCAAATCAAGGCAGTAATACTGGTGTCTATCAGCTGAGAGCTGGCTCAAAATAAATGAAGGGACAAAATCCTCTAACTGGCTTTATATTTCAATATGTTTCTTTCAGTATGCTTGTATGTCAGTTGTGATTACAGTAGTTATACTGCTAAGAAATGTTCTCATGTGGGATGATTTCCCTGTATTTTCCAGCACATAGCATCATCTGAAACTTGCAAAAAAGTGAGTATTTAATGCTTCCCCAAATCCAAGAGAAAAATGTGGATTCGGAGAACCTTTGGCTCACACATAGCACATATGTGAAATGACACAAGGTGCAAAGCAGCGGGGAGGGAAACCCCATGTGTTTAAAACTGAGACAGAACCACATTGATCAAAGCATATTTATGGCCATCTTTCAACCTCAGTGCATGTATTGCCATCTGTGGGAGTAGCCTGCAGAGCAGACGGCCCTAAACGTAAAAAGGAAAAAAAAAAAAGAAAGAAAAAGAATCAGCTCCTCTTTTGAATGAGCGAGCATAACAATGAATGACATTATTTCATGAACTGTACCAGTTCAAATGCATGTGCACCTGGTGCTCCTAATGCTTTTTACTCCTGTTGGTCTTTAGACAACATGATCAGTAATATGCTTTCTCTTTTTAATCGTTTGCTGTTTTTATTGTTGTTGTTTTGTTTTGTTTTTTAAAAACATTTCACTGAGAAAACAGCCCTACTTCTGTAAATATAGAGTTTAATTTGGAGGAGACAGCACACTTCTGGATGTTACTGCTGGACAGTTATTTATTAAAAGGGGCTTAAGGTGAATAAATACAGGTGGCTCAGGATACATGCATGCAAGTGTGATAATGCAGTATAGCATTTTCAGTTCTCTGTAGTTTTGAGGGAAGGGGAATTTTGGGGTCATCCTAGTTTGTTTAGAAGTTTGTAACTGATCTGATACTTTTCAATAATGCAATAGAGATTCCTAACATGTAACAGTGCTTGAACAGATGTGTAGATTATGATAGATTTTTCATTTGGGGATTGGGGCGGTAGTGAAGGAGAAATATTTTAGTTTTTAAGGGAAAAAAAATCTACTAAACTTTTTTTAAGAAAAAGATGTGTGTTTTCAGAAACAGTGGGGATGTGGGCTGATAGACAGCCAGGGCGTGGAGATGAAGGACAGAGGAAGCAGTTGGGTTTTTGAGGGACAAAGAAGTTTTACACGGGGATGTGGGTTTGTTACTGGTACATGTGGTACAAATTTCTGTAACTGACATGCTGCTTCCATGTTATAACCATATAACCTTTATACATTTTATGCGCCTGCTCCATTTTTCTGAGAAAACCTTGCAAATGTAATGCCTGCATGCAAATGTGGGAGATGTAGCCAAAGTTTTATAATCCAACATAATGTAGTCTTAATGGATTCAAAATCAACAATAAAAGTGCTTACTGGTTAAACACTACAGAGAATTTCATTGCAGGGTCATTTT